TTTGGGAAACTAAGCAGGCGGATCACCTGAAGTCAGGGGTTCGAGACTAGCCTGGACAAGATGGTGAAACCCATTCTGTACTAAAAATACAAAAATTAGCCAGGTGTGGTGGCATGCGCCTGTAGTTCCAGCTACTCCAGAGGCTGAGGCAGGAGCATCGCCTGAATCCAGCAGGTGGAGGTTGCAGTGAGCCAAAATCGTGCCACTGTACTTCAGCCTGGGTAACAAAGTGAGACTCTGTCTCAAAAAAAAGAAAGCATGACATTAACGAAAAATAGCGGTTAAAGGAAGAAATGATATAAGCTGGCTGTTATTTTGACTAGTTCTAAGGGTACAAGCTGTCAAAATTAGCCCGTATATTAGATTTAAGAAATCTTCTCCATACTTTGGAAACTAGTCTATTGGGACAGGAAGCAAAAACACTTATTGTACACAGATTTCTTCTCTTTGGAGTATTCTAGCCAACTTCCTACTTTCCTTTGATAAAATGCTTTTGGGTAAATGAATGAATGACCACAACAGCTACATCTAACTCTGACCCACAAATCCTATAAAACATAAAATACTCAAAAGATAATAAGTTCTTTCAACTGTGCAATTAAAATTAATCCCTTTAAACTGAAAGCTTAAATTTTTCCTTTTTCTCCCCAAATCAGAGCCATGGGAAATCACTCATAAAACCATTCCATATCTTATTTTCGTAGAAAAATTCAGTGCTCAAGCAAATTAATAATAAAATATTCCACAATCTAAGTTCAATCTCCTCATAAAAAGATTAGTGAAAAGCCTACCGGAATCCTTGTTCTTTTATAGCAAATGCTGGTGTTTCCAAGGGGAAAATTTCAGACTGCACGAACAGTTCCCTCACTCTTCGGTCTATGACTTTCCCGTACTGAGCACCAGCATCCAGAATGACAACAGCTCCTTCATAGTGGTGGTGGCCATCCTTAAGGTCTCCTCCAGCATTCTCCAGCTGCAAATATCAATACAAATACAAAGTCTTAATTATGAAAATTAAAGCTACAGTACTTAAAAAAATAAATTAATGATCACTGTCAGCTCCAAAAAAACACAGGAATGAAAACTTAGGACTTTATGAGTTACCAATTCAAAATACCCCTTTTAAAGGGAAGATTTTAATATATATCCATGCATGGGCATATATTAAACACTTAAACTTAATAAATGCTACCATTTATTGACTATGTAATATAGTGATCGTCTGTATATATATATACCTTATATACATGACCTAATGGTAGGATGAGCATACAATCCAGCTGTGCCAAAATATAGTCCTGGTTTATGTTCCTTATATGGACATTATTATTAACAGTGCATTCTTTCAATCTCAAAGTGTCCCAGTTTGGACAATAAGTTATTTGGTCACCCTATCAATAGTCACAACATTTTTATGAGGGATATATACTGATGGGGAAACTAAAAGTTTGATGCCAGAGTATAAGCACAGCCTAATTCACTGTGTTAGGATTTTTTTGTATTATCTGAGGAAAATGATATATGCATCTAACTCATAACACTAAGATTTTTAAAAGGCCTTTTAGGCCAGGTGCAGTGGCTCACGCCTGTAATCCCAGCAATTTGGGAGGCCAAGGCAGGTGGATTACCTGAGGTGAGGCGTTCAAGACCAGCCTGGCCAACATGGTGAAACTCTGTCTCTACTAAAAATATGAAAAATTAGTTGGGCGTGGTGGTGGGCACTGTAATCCCAGCTACTGGGGAGGCTGAGGCAGGAGAATCGCTTGAACCCAGGAGGCAGAGGTTGCAGTGAGCTGAGATCACGCCACTGCACTCTAGCCTGGGCAACAAGCGAAATTCTGTATCAAAAATAAAAAAAAATAAAAAGACTTTTTAAATCTAATCGCTGTCAGGTATACATGGATACACTTTTCAGGAAGGTTAATTTGGCAAAATGTCAAGTTGCCAACTGAAATATACTGAAATACTTACCTGGAAGATGTTTCAAAATAATGCAAAAGTAGGTGGCTATGGATGAAACAAGATTGCTCAGGTACTAAAATCACTGAAGCTGGGTGATAGGTACATTAAGTTCATTGTACTAATCTGGTCTCTATCCTGGATTTTTTGTTTGTTTGCTTTTTTATTTTGTATATTTTAAATTTTACATAAACTCTTGGCCGGGTGCGGTGGCGCAAGCCTGTAATCCCAGCACTTTGGGAGGCCGAGACAGGCGGATCACGAGGTCAGGAGATCGAGACCATCCTGGCTAACCCAGTGAAACCCCGTCTCTACTAAAAAATACAAAAAACTAGCCGGGCGAGGTGGCGGGCGCCTATAGTCCCAGCTACTTGGGAGGCTGAGGCAGGAGAATGGCATAAACCCAGGAGGCGGAGCTTGCAGTGAGCCGAGATCCGGCCACTGCACTCCAGCCTGGGCGACAGAGCAAGACTCCGTCTCAGAAAAAAAAACAAAAAAACTCTTAAGTTTCTGTGTACCCTGGAAATCCACTTACAGGAAGCATATACAGTATAATGCCACTTAAATATGGCTTGTATAAAAGTGTAAAAGTCTGTATGCATGCATAAAAAAGGAAGAGTATGGCTGGACATACACCAAAATATTAACAGAGAGATGAAGTAGTTCATCTAAGTAATGGAACTATACGTGATTCTCTATTTTTATTTCCTTACACTCTTCAATATGTCCTAAATGTTTACAATAAACATATTAAAGGAGGTTTTCTCCCTCTAGTTGTAAAATTTGCACATAAAAACCTTAAGTCAATCCTTTAGCCACTTGTGTAATCTTTTCCACCCTTCATCCCTTCTCCATTTATCTGCAAAAAATAAATGCAGGCCTCACCTACAACACCATTATTCCTTCTGCTGCAAAAAGGAACAAGCGTTCAGGCATGGTAGCTCACACCTGTAATCCCAGCATTTTCGGAAGCCGAGGCAAGCGGATCACCTGAGGTCAGGAGTTCAAGACCAGCCTGACTAACATGGAGAAACCCTGCCTCTACTTAAAATACAAAATTAGCCAGGCATTGTGGTGGGCGCCTATAATCCCAGCTATTCGGGAGGCTGAGGCAGGAGAATCACTTGAACCCAGGACGTGGAAGTTGCCATGAGCCAAGACTGCACCATTGCACTTCAGCCTGGGCAACAAGAGTGAAACTCCGTCTCAAAAAAAAAAAAGGAACAAGCAAGTCAGTCATCTACATAGAAGGATTTGTGAGAGACCCAATCCGGTGCCAGAAGAAATTACTCAGGTCATAGAAATGAAGGTTTTGGTCACACGAATATGCAATAATGTAGAAAAGTAAGATCACAGAACAAACTAAAACTTTGTCCTTTCAGACCTTTACCCTTAGTGTTACTGTATACAAACACACACACACACACACACACAAACACACACACATCTTCGTGGATTTTCTCTATAATTCCTTAATCTTAACTTTTTTTTTTCTAATTATACTTTAAGTTCTAGGGTGCATGTGCACAACGTGCAGGTTTGTTACATATGTATACTTTTGCCATGTTGCTGTGGTGCACCCACCAACTCGTCAGCACCCATCAACTCGTCATTTACATCAAGTATAACTCCCAATGCCATCCCTCCCCTCTCCCACTTCCCCATAATAGGCCCCGGTGTGTGATGTTCCCCTTCCCAAGTCCAAGTGATCTCATTGTTCAATTTCCACCTATGAGTGAGAACATGGGGTGTTTGGTTTTCTGTTCTTGCAATAGTTTGCTCAGAATGATGGTTTCCAGCTGCATCCATGTCCCAACAAAGGACATGAACTCATCCTTTTTTATGGCTGCATAGTATTCCATGGTGTATATGTGCCACATTTTCTTAA